AATCAATTGAACATGTCGCATAATCTACAATGTGTTTACCTCCTTTGGACCATCTTCAGATTATGTTCAGTAGAACATCACAGACAAACTATGGAGACATGCTGATGTACATAATCCTACTTGTTACAGCGCAAAGATTGAGTCATATGGAAAGCCGATTCCATATTTTTGATGTCAGACAACAATTTTCTCCACTAGTTGAACAACAACTCCTACTATTCCAGCTAGTTCTAACAGAAGCCTCACTAGTGATTCTGGGCTTCGCATTAGCAGCACTAAAGTCCAAACTAGTCAGCTTTTCAAGAACAGTAAGATCATGGTCAACAAATTGACTTGGTCTCTACTTTTAACTACTTTGGATTTTGAATTAACGACCACTTGTCTTTAAAGGCACATAGTCAGTATGCTGAGGAAAAACTGAAGCTTGTACTTGTAACTTATTACTTTAATTTACTACTACTATGTTAGCAGACAGAGGTATCACTCTGATCCTTTTCCGAAGAGTCTAATTCTTAATATAACCAGTTTGTTTAATGTGTCACAGGCTGAAGAACAGACTGGGATGGACCCTAATGCAGACGAACATGTGGAACTGTGACGACAGATCAGAGATTAAACTCTAGTTTATATTTGATTAGGTTTCTGATTCAACATCTGGTTTAAATAAATGTTCATTGTAGTCTGAACAACAAAAGGACCACAAACAACTTTCCACATTTATTAGAAAGATTTGTGTTTTCATGATCTGATGTTTCCCTCAATAACTTTATTATGAATACAATTAAAGTCAGAGAGAGCTGGAGAGATGAAACACTTTTTATATTTATATATATATATATATATAAAGTTGTCCTTCAACCAAAAGGCTGGCTAGTCAAACAGTGACTAGTCAAACAGTGGCTCCTCCTTTACACATGGCCACGTGTCCTTGACTGAGGACACTGAACCAGACGCTTCACAGGAGCTCCCTGCTCCTGATGATGATGATAAAAAGTGTTTCTTTTCTCCAGCTCTATATATATGAAAGAAACACTTTTTATCATCATTTCATTCAGTCACATGAGGCGGATCATTCCTGAGTGTCGGGTTTGATGAGTTTTATCATTTAAGTTTAACCTGAATCATGGAGCCTAATAAATGAATTCCAGTGTTCAAGAGAAACCATAATCATATTCTGGGTTAATTAATAATGACGTCACAATCAGAATTTAAAAACGTACAGACGCAAATAATTGATAAATAAAACAAACTCATTCTCTCGGTAGAAATGTCGGTCCCGCGCTTATAAACAGAACACAGTATAAATAGTCGTTGCAGTTTATAACAGAGAGAAAATACCTGTACTCTGATAACTGTCTTTATTAGTTTTAGTACAGTGATGATAACTGTGTCTTTATTAGTACAGTGATTAAAAGTCTCTACAGTTGTTAAAGATGAATCAGCTGATCCAGGTTTGATCATAAACAGTCGCTTCACGTGATGATACAAAGGAAAGGATGTCTCATTTGTGTGAAAATATGTTTCCTCGTTCCCTCTCTCCTCGCATGGTTTCCTTGCATCTCTTCATGCATCCCTGGTGGGAGGGACTAAGAAGCAAGGAAAAGATACAAGTGAGGGAAACGAGGACGGAATTAAGAGACTTGGGATGAACCCCATTACAACTCAGGTGATCACAGGAAAAAGGAGGGAAAACCACAACGACAGGACACGAGACAGGGAACTTCAAAATAAAACAGGAAACAAGCTAAACCAAAATCAAGATTGTGACATTGTGAACTGGTCAGTGGATGTTTACTGGTTTTAGTAGATGTGTGAGTATGAACTTTAACTTTAGTTAACTACTCTTTACTGAGTGTTGTTTTAAATGTTTTAATTGAACAGCTCAGCTCTGACCTTGTCTGTTCACTTTACAGCAGCTGAATCTAAAAATAACACACACACAGTTAACCCAATTTAACTAGATTAGAACTAGTCATGTGATTGGTTAGTTTATCAGTCTACTGGTGAATCAGGTCGTTTTATTTCAGTGTGTAGTAGCAGCAGTTTTTCTCAGCGGTAGGCCACTTTACAGGAATTAACTATTGTAACATTCCAGGAGTGCAATGTGGCCAAAAATAAGAGACAATAAAAATAATACTAAAATGTAATAAATGAGGAGCAGGGAGCTCCTGTGAAGCGTCTGGTTCAGTGTCCTCAGTCAAGGACACGTGGCCATGTGTAAAGGAGGAGCCACTGTTTGACTAGCCAGGCATTTTGGTTGAAGGACAACTACTCTGCCAACTGAGCTACAGTCACCCAAGGACCAAGCCACATATCTAAAGTGTACACATTATGGATTCACCTGACAAAAGTCTGCGATTAACCCTGCATGCATTTGTAATGAACTGGAGACATTTAAATCAGGACAGATCTAGAATATACGTGGGACAGATTGGGGATTATTCTGAAACCAATCTAAAAGTAACCTTGGACAGATCAAAAATTGTTCCCTCAAAGATCTGATGCTAACCCAGGACAGATTTGGGATTAATTCTTCTGGAATTATCTTTAGCGACAGATCTGGGATTAACCGAGGTCAGATTACAGATTAATTTTGGACAAAATTCAGATGAAATCTGACAAAACAGGCATTAATTTGAGACAGGTCTAGGGCTCATCCTAAAAAGGCCTTTGATTAACCCAGGATGGATCTGGGATTGAATCTTTGATTGAGACAGATTGATGTTTAATTTGAGAAAGAATAGGGATTAACCAGGATTGGATCAGAGAGAAATCTTTAAAAAAGCTGTGATAAATCTGGAACTAGGATTAGGACCTGGACAGATTACAGAATAAAATGTAAAATACCTGGGATTAATCCTGGAAAGATCTGAGATTTATATGGGACAGATTAGGGATTAGTTTGATACAGATCTTGAATTATTCCTAGATAAATCTGGTATTCACCCAGGATGGATAATTCTTGGACAGATCTCAAATAAACAAAACATTTGGAGTAATTGGAGATAGACCAGGGCCCCGTTCCTCGTACGTGGCTAACTGAGTTAGCCGGATCATTTTCAGGATAAGATTACATAAATCAGGCTTTTCGGTTCCATGAAGCAAGTTTGGCAAAATCACCATGGCAACACATCCATAAACTTGAACCTGCTCCAGCGCAGGCTAACTGAAGGTAGCTGGATAAGCTGCCACTCCCCCGGAAAACATGGCAGCTCCTGTCATATACGGTAGTCTAATGCGCTTGCGCATATACCGGGGGTTATACGGGAGTTCCGGAAATGCATGTAAAGTGAGACACATGGTGATCCATTAAAAGCAGCTGAGCAAACTAAGAAGCCTCTATTGCATTAATGTACAGCTCCCTTCCTCAGAGATCCACTGATGAAGGAGGATATTAGTTAGATTAGCGTTTTATAGGGAGAGAGTTCTTCCACATCGCCAAGATCCGTTATCACATCATGATGACTTCCTATACGAGCGCTATCCATTCTGCCCACAAGGAATCATTTATTTACAGACCTTCTGGAGCATACATTGAACACCACACGCTGCAGCCGAGCATTGATGTCTCACAGACTGGATGCAGCCTTGAGCTGTTCTGCGAGTGGTACATTGTTGTACAGTGTCGGCGATGCGGAGAACATCAGGAAAGCTGCTGCATGCCGTGCTGTTCGTACAGTTTATTTGGCGCTTAATAAACTTATGGATGTGTTCATTACATTACCATGGCACATATTGTACTGACTCAGCATTCTGCGTAATGTGTGTGCTTAGTGTTTACTTGCTCCCATGTCCTCTTGATGGCTGCGTTGCATAAATGAGGGTTAAAGCACTCATAATGATATGACAGTGTTATTAGTACACCAGCATATCATTACTGTAGAACATGATGAAGGTGGACTCATGATAAGAACAGAGAGAATCACACACTATTTATCTTCACTGCTTCAGTTGATTGAATGTCTGATGATGAATAATACACACATACATACTGATCCGCCCATACACAGATTCACACACATATTCAAACTCCTAGTTCTATATGGTAATTTACACAGACATGTATATACACATATATTGGAGATAAACCTTAGCTGAATTTCAGGAGCAGGACCACACCTCAGCCACTCCCCCGCTTCCGGCCACACTCCTGTAAATACCTACCCACTCTAAGCCTCGGCTCGCTCGCGCTTTCCGCATCCCACCCTCCCTCCCTCTTGTTAAAGGTTATCTCCCCCCCATAGTCATCATCCTCCTATCCCATATGGAGGCCGGGGGACCTGCAAGGCCCGGGAGCCGCAGTGGATCCTCAGCTAAGACTCCCCCAAACCGCATCTGGCTAAATCTCCATCAACCATTCCTCAAACTCTCCAAACAACCGACGAAGGCTCGCTCCGGCCGAGGTGGGGCCCTAAGCTAGTGACTAGTACATGATACATAAGGGCATACAGTACATATATCCTCATATTAATGAGTATGAATTAGATACTCTTTGGGCTTGTTTTGATCTACTTATTCTGAAAGAGTTGAGATCATTATTGTCGCTATAGATCTCATTGGATGATGCATTCATTAAGCCTACTGCCAGCAGCTCATTTAAAGACATATCATCTGATTGATTGGGGTGATGAGGCATTAAAATGAGCTGATACATTTACAACACTTACGCATTTAACTTGTCTGTGATATTTTGCGTGCTTCTTGTCTAGCCCTCGCAGCGGTGGTAGTGTTAGACTTTGCTGTGATTATGGTCTTGAATTCCTCATATGCGTTCATGATCATCTCCTGCTCGTCAGCGGAGTAAAAAGAGGCTCTTTCTTTGACTTTATTTAACATTGTACTGTTAGAAAATCATGGTTTCGGTGATTGACGCTTCCCCCTTTTGAAGTAGGACGGGCACGCGCAATTATCCTGATCCTGATCGTCTGGTTTGAATTAACGAGACTGTTTGAGAGGATCAGCCTTGGAGAAACCGAGATAGCCTGATTTCAATCATCGGGTTAATTTCAGCTGGCTAATAGGACATTTGATCGACTTAGTTGAACCACGTACGAGGGACGGGGCCCAGGGATTTAACCTCGCAAAATTCTGTTTCACTCCAGACAAAATTTGTGATTCATTCTGTAAAGATCAGGGATTAACCTGGAACAAACGTGTACTAAACCAGGATAGATCTAGGATTAATACTGTAAAGATCAGGGATTGTCGTGGATTGTCAGATTACAGATTAATCTTTGAAAGATCTCAGATAATCTCTGGACAGAGTCGAGATCATCCCAGGAAAGATAATTAATAAATGGATTAATTTGATTCTGATCTATGATTAATCCTGAACACATCTGGTATTGATCCAGTTTGTTAAACACCGTGTCAATATTTTACATTAAACATGTTTATTCTGTTGAAGTGATGCTGTTGCTGGTTCAGAAAATCTGTAACATAAGAGGTCAGCTGATCAACAAGCTCAGACTTCAGGTCCTCAAAATAAACATTAAGTACCCCCCGAGGGAAATGTGCCGTCTCCATTACAGAAGCAGGACTGACTCAAAGAACACATGGACGTGTCTCAAGTCAGAGGAATAACTGGTTCAATGTAAAAAAGCACTTTTAAAAATATGTGAGTACTCTTCTTTTTCAGTAATATTCGTGTTTTACTGCTTTTAAGTGCTGATTGTATGAAGTTTTACTGTCAGTGTTGCTGTCTGTTGTTTAGTGTTTTATCTGAACAGACTTGTATGAAGTCAGTGCTGCTGTCTGTTGTCTGGTGTTTTATCTTAACATACTTGTATGAAGTCAGTGCTGCCGTCTGTTGTTTGGTGTTTTATCTGAACAGACTTGTATGAAGTCAGTGCTGCTGTCTGTTGTCTGGTGTTTTATCTTAACATACTTGTATGAAGTCAGTGCTGCTGTCTGTTGTTTGGTGTTTTATCTTAACACTCGTATGAAGTCAGTGCTGCTGTCTGTTGTCTGATGTTCATCTCTGACCCCACAGCACCATCATGGCAGTAGCGAGCATCTCTCGCTCTGAAGCATTCGAGGATTATTCTCTGTACAGTAACCTGAATGATGACGAGCTGCTGCAGCTCGCCATCGAGCGCAGTCTGACTGACGCACCCTGCGACGCCTCCAATGCCATCACCTCTGCTACTGCCAACACACCTCCTCCACCACCTGACAGCAGCAGCCTGAATACTTCAGCCAGAGCCACTAATCAATCAAGGCATCCGACTCCAGCCCAGAGCTCTGCACACTACAGTTCTCCAAATCCTCCGAGGGAACAGCTTCCTGATCCGTATGTAATCTCACACAGCTTTTATTATCCTCCATATTGTGAGTATGAGAACGATGACAGTGGAGAAGGGCTTCATGTTGGTCCTCATCGTACAGCACTATCATTAAGGCAGATTAAGTGTGTGTTTGAAAAGGTTAAAACAAAGAAGACATGTACAGTGCTGTAAAAAGTTATATTTAACCGTCATAATGATGTTCTTTTTCTTATTTCCTTCAATAATAACCAGTTACCATTTTAATTCAAGCACCAAATGCTTAAATTAATTTAAATCTTTTTTTACCAATTCGGGTTCACCAAGATGGCGCCGCGGACGGCTGCCTAAGTGTTGGTGCTCATTGTGTTGTGTTGTTTTTGTTGTTAATTCAGTTTTCTGCTGTGATACCCGGAGCTCTTTCACCAGAGATGAGCTCGTAAGCATCAGGGGAACAACTCCAGCGGACTTACTTTCAACTTTTCTGTTAACTTCTGTGGAATTACTGGACATTCTCGTCAAAGGTGCGCTCACCTTAACTCATGCAGTGAAGCGCCGTAGAAGAGGAAAACGTGCCGGCGCGCTCGTGTGTCTTCGCAAACGGGGTTCTCATACGCCGCTGCCTGGAATATTTCCCTCCAACATCCGCTCACTGTGCAACTAACTGGACAAACTTCAGCTACTGGTGGGGAGAGACAGAGACTTTTCTTCCTCCTCCATTCTGTGCTTCACTGAGACCTGGCTCTGTGGATCGATTCCGGACTCCGCGCTACAGCTGGCTGGCTTCCAGCTGTTCAGAGCGGACCGCGACACGGACCTCTCCGGCAAATCGAAGGGTGGAGGAATCTGTTTTTATACCAACAGTGGCTGGTGCAACGATGTGACAGTGATTCTACAGCACTGTTCTCCTGATCTGGAATCCTTCATTATAAACTGTAAACCATTTTACTCCCCCGTGAGTTCGCCTCATTCATCCTGGTCGGTGTTTACATGCCGCCGCAGAGCAACGTGCAGGAAGCACAGCGGACACTCACCGACCAGATACTGTGTGTGGAGCGGACCAACCCGGACTCTCTAGTTCTTGTCCTTGGTGACTTTAACAAAGGAAACCTCAGCCATGAACTACCTAAATACAGACAGTTTATTAAATGCTCAACCAGAGAGGAGAACATTCTAGATCACTGTTACACCACAATCAGGGGGCCTATCACGCCATGCCTCGTGCTGCACTGGGACTCTCTGACCACTTCATGGTCCATCTGATTCCTGCATACAGGCAGAAACCCAAGCTCTGTAAACCTGTGGGGAGGACATTGTGGTGGAAAATATTCCTATACCCGCTTTGCGTGAGTCTTTTACTGCTGAAATAAATAATATTTTAATTAAGTATTTATTCTCTGCGCAGAGAAGGTTCAATCATCACAACAGAATGCGTACAGTCTCAGTGAGGAAGAACCAAGAAAAAAGGGAACACGCTTTCTTTATACAGAATGAGCAAAGGTGGGGGCCGATGGCCAATGTCACAGACATTTTGGTGTCAGACTGATAGGAACAACAATAAAAAACAAAAGGCCTTGGTGCTGGTGTTGTGTACAACACAGTACACAGCAGTGGACCAGTGAAGCTATGGAGGATCTTCGGGCGTGTTTAGACTGTACAGACTGGAATGATTTCAGGACTGCTACCAACAGTCTGGATGAGTACACAGAGGCTGTAACGTACATACATCAGCTGTGAGGACAGCTGTGTTCCATCAAGCACCAGTTATAACGACGACAAACCCTGGTTTACAGCTGAACTCAGACAGCTACATGCAGAAAGATCAGGCATTTAAGACAAGGACATGTATAAATTTTAATTTTTTATACTATATTGATCCCGTTAAGGGGGAAAGTTGTCTCTGCATTTGAAGCGGTCTGCCAATAACCCAGGAAGCCTGGGGTTCAGTGTATTGCTCAGGTACACTTCGACACTTGACACGTCCCAGTCGAGGATCGAACCGTTGACCTTGCGGTTACCAGACAACCAGACAACCCTCTTAACCCAGTCACCCCCTCTTAACCCACTGTCACCCCCATAAAGAGTCAAAGTACAGGTTTAGCAAGGCAGTGAGAGACGCTAAACGACTGTACTCTGAGAAACTGTAACACCAGCTCTCAGCAAGTGACTCTGCTTCTGTCTGGAGAGGCCTCAGGCAGATCACCAACTACAAGCCTAAAGCCCCCCACTCCATGAACGACCTCCACCTGGCAGACAAGCTGAACGAGTACTGTCATTTTGAAAGACAATGGGACAGCCCTGACTCCATCCCCCACAGCTCCATCAACCAGCCCCAGACCACCAGGTCCCCTCCCCCAGCCCAGCAGGGGCCCATGCCTCTGTACCACCCATCCCAGTGCCCCCCCACCCCCCAGGACCACCACCCCCAGCACGGAAGGGGCCCATGCCTCTGTACCACCCAAGTACCACCCATCCCAGTGTCCCCCACTCCCCAGTGACTACTCTCTCTATTCTGGAGAGAGATGTCAACAGGCTTTTTAAAAAACAGAACACCCGCAAAGCAGCCGGCCCAGACTCTGTCTCCCCCTCCACCCTGAAGCACTGTGCTGATCAGCTGTCTCCGGTGTTCACAGACATCTTCAACACCTCCCTGGAGACATGCCACGTACCAGCCTGCTTCAAGGTCTCCACCATCATCCCCGTCCCCAAAAAACCAAGGATCACAGGACTTAACGACTACAACCCGTCGCCCGGACCTCTGTGGTTATGAAGTCTTTTGAGCTCCTTGTCCTGTCCCACCTAAAAACCCTCACCGACCCACTCCTGGACCCTCTGCAGTTCGCCGAGGGTCTTCAAGGACCCTGAAGCGAGCAAGAAAGATTGTAGCCGAACCTTCTCACCCTGGACACAAACTGTTCGAGCCCCTTCCATCTGGCAGGAGGCTGCGGTCCATCAGGACCAAGACCTCACGCCACATGAACAGTTTTTTCCCGTCTTCAGTCGGGCTCATCATCAAAGCCCGGGACCCCCACTGACTCTGACATCCGTCAGTCCCCTGCAAATCCCCTCTATGTTTCTTATTTAAACACACTCGACACTTTACATTACACTTACATCTCACTTGTTTATAGTCCTGTTATCTGTTCATTTGTGCACTTTATTTTATATTTTACTGTAAATTTGAATATGTTCCTACTTTTTTCACTGTGTTGATTGTTGTTGATTGTTTAATGTTATGCACCACCCGTCATGTCAAATTCCTTGTATGTGCAACATACCATGGCAATAAATGGTTCTGATTCTGATTCTACTCAGTAGTTAGATTGAAGAGGTTTAGTTTATTTTAGCAATTGCTGGTGATTTATTCTATTCTTTTTCACATCAGATGTATCTTTTTATCCTTCAGTCTGGTTGATGAGAGTCCTGCATGGATCCAGTTTTGTAAACCCAGACGTCCCAGTGGCCATTTTGTTTTGTAATCCATGCGGCCTCAGTCGCTATTCTAGCCCAGTATCATGAAATGGTCACGAAATGCAACGCCTTGGGTTTCCCCAGGAAGAGCTGGAAAGCGTTGTTGGCGAGAGAGACATTTGGAATATGTCCTAAGCAACCTGGCTCCCATAAGTGGAAGACGATGGATGGATGGATGGATGTTTCACTGGTGCTACTGATGCCCTTGAATCTAACGACTGTAATCGTTCTCTCCATCTTCAGATGTTTTGTGCTGAGGTGACTGATGTTGCTCGTTTTAGAACCACTGTCAAAAACAATGGCTAAGTTGGATATTTAAAAACCCAAAAACTTCCAAACAGCAGACTCAGCTCCTCTTTTTCTTTAAGTGCATCTCCGCCTCTCTTTCTTCATCCTCCATCTCTCTTTTCTGTTCTTGATTTTGCAGCAGTGACGGAGCCTCTCACTGCTGTTAACAGACTGTTATGCTACTAGCTAGCAGCTGTAACATTACCCAGCATGCCGTTCAGTTGTGTAAATTTGTGAATGTAAAATTATTCGTTTTTCAATTCTTTTTTGTGTCACAATTAGTTGTGTGACATAGTCTGTTATGCTGTTGAAGAGTTAGTTGTGGGTTATTAATTGATATTAACTGTTGTGTTAAAAAGTTATACCATGAGTGAGAAGGGCACGCAGTTATTAGAGTTTCCTCTCCATTCAAATAAAACTTTCCCAGCCGAAGGGTTCTTTGCAGCTTCTCTCTGGTGTGGTTGTTTATGAAAAATGTATATTTCACTAGAAATTTAAAATAATATATCACAAGATTAGGTGTACCACCCAGCACGAACTGAAATATCTCTAAGTGAATTGATATTGAATTACAAATAATATTGAATTGGGACCTTGTGAATCAGAATCAAATCGATTTGGGAAATCAGTGCCAATAGCCAGCTATAGTCTTTTGTCTTAGAGTTATTAGTGTTCAAGTCGTTAGTCACTCATGTTAATGACAAACATGCTCTTGTCCTATTTTTCCCCTCAACCTATCTTCCTGTGAAGACAGAAGTTTACTTGCATCAAAAAGGTGCCGAAATGTTGTGTCAGTCTCTGTGCTCTGATTGGCTGTTGTCTTTGTGATCCTGACTTAGGAAGATGTTTGATGGGACGGTCAGTCACTTCATGACGGGTTCTGGGAAGCGCATGGTGGAGTATCGCAGAGCTGACGGCACTCTCGTTCTCATCGCTCCAGAACCTAAAGAGTGAGTCAAGTTCTGTTCATGAACCATCTCTGGATGAGGAACTACCTGTATCACCTGTTGCATCTCTGCATGTGAAACCATCATAATTCATTTTTGTTGTTCCCATGAGGATTTGTGCAGTTATAGAAAGAATTTATTTTCATGGTCAGTGCAGGTTATTCTTCTTACCTCAGAACTACCCTCCAGTGTAACACCTCAAATCCAAAAGCATGAGACAAAGTAAGAGCAAGTCCATGTATACTGAGGTCAGAATCAGGTGAGGGTCCAAACCAAAAAGACAGTCAAGCTTATCCAGATGTGGGTCAGGCAAGAACACAGACTGGAAAAGTTGGCAAATGCTATCTAGATAGGCAGGGGATGAATGTAGGGTTAGTCGTCACATACGGACGCTTAGTCAGGCCAAGTTGGCGTCACTTAGGTTTAACTAAACTACATGGTTAGGTTTACGTTGTTAACATCCGTTAGGTAAACATAGGTATTTGGCCCTGAAATGAAATGGACTTGGTATATGTACTGCGAGGCTGATAAGGGAAATAGGAAGGAGGTTAGTAAAAGGTGGAGGGTAGAAGGGTTAGAAAATATCAGAGTGAACGGAGCAGGTAACAATTAATATTAACAACTGGCTGAAGTTGTGATGTGAAGAGTTATTGGTTCATATTTTGGGTGTGTTTGAGAATCAGGAAAGGTGAGGTGAGACAGGTGAGGATGGAGAGGTGAGGTGAGACAGGTGAGGATGGACAGGTCAGGTGAGACAGGTAAGGTGGAGAGGTCAGGTGAGACAGGTGAAGATGGAGAGGTCAGGTGAGACAGGTGAGGATGGAGAGGCCAGGTGAGACAGGTGAGGATGGACAGGTCAGGTGAGACAGGTAAGGTGGAGAGGTCAGGTGAGGATGGAGAGGTCAGCTGAGACAGGTGGCTCATGGGTATTTTCCCTGCAGGGAGGAGGAGCCTCTGTTCAAAGCGATCCGTGTCGGTGATGCGAGCAGAGTGAAAGCGTTGGCGGTGCTTCTGGGAACAGACCTGATGCTGCCGAATAAACCGGGATGGCTGGCGATCCACCAGGCAGCGTGGTTTGGTCAGGACACCTGTCTGCAAGTACTGCTCTCAGGTAGATCTGTACACACACACACATAGGAACCGACACATCACAACAAAATCCAAAGAAGTACTTTCTGTGTTTTTGTGCCCAGCTCAGCCGGGGATGATAAACAAAAGAACGGAGCGCGGTGAATCAGCGCTGCTGGTTGCTGTCAGCAAAGACCAGCTGCGATGTGTTCAGGTGCTGCTGGAAAATGGTGTAGATGCCAACATCCCAAACTATGACAAAGAGACTCCTCTTTACAGAGGTGAATCTTACAGAAAGTGAAGTCAGAGTCCCAATAAAATATTGACATGAACTCATGTCATACACTGACTGGGGAGCTGTGTTATCTTTAAAACAATAAATCAGTTGTCTACTATTTGCAGGATACAAAATTATTTGAATTTGGTACTCTTTATTTTATATATATTTAATAGTGCTTTGCCTTTATTGGCAAAACAGAGTACCAACTGAGTCCCAAGCCCACCACCTGAACTGTGAGTACCTCTTGATACCAAATATGTTGAGCTCTGTTTCTGAACAGCGGTTCTCTGTTGACCTTCACTATGTTTGAGCTAATCCGAGAGCTTGGAGAGTTCTTGGTAATAACTCTGAAGGTCTTAAGGAGTTATAAGAACCCAAGAAGAAAAATATTTATATTTATTATAAGTTGTCATCTGGACTCAGCTGGTGTAGACAGAAGCTGGAGAAAGTAATGAGGATGTTTTACTTCAATAAACTCTTGTTTTCTTTCTCTGCAGCCTGTGAGAGGAACATCCCTGCGATGGTGGCGGCGTTGTTGAACCACGGTGTAGCGGTGAACACTCACTGTATTTGGGGTTGCACCGCCCTGCACGAAGCCGCATGTCGAAACAACGTGGAGATCTGTGAGATGCTGCTGAAGGCTGGAGCTAAACACAACCTCTCCAACATGTATGGCATCTCACCGCTGTTCAATGCAGCACAGAGCGGGCAGCTCGCCGCCCTGCGCCTCCTCCTCAAACATAGTACGATGTTTATCTTATTGTTCTACTGCTTCTTCTACTGTAACCGTAGTAGTGTGTAGAAGAAAGAGCACAGAATAATCACAGAATAAATTTCACTTTAGTTCAATTACACCTGGCAGAGTAGTGCTCATCACTTCTGCAGCAGCAGAGAGATCACTGAAGCCCTATCCATTGGAATTAAGGGAGCAGGGACTTCTTTTACATCTGAGACCATCTTTCAGGAACTACATTTAGTGCCTGGTTCCACTGGTTGAAACACAGGTATAGTCCCTGAGTTCCTCAAAAGATTCCTGTTCCTGTGAAAAAGTTCCTGTGATGGAAACAGTACATTGACACACACTGTAGTGTCCTTCATGAAGTCAACAATTCAATTAAATTTTATCTGTATAGCCCGATATCACAAATGATGAATTTGCCTCAGAGGACTTTTCAATCTCTCCAGCAAACAACAGGAACATCAGAACAGGAAACACTTCCCCTCAAAAAAAAACCTCATTGAAAGGGAAAAAACAGGGGAGAGATCTCTCTTCCAGGACAGAATCAAATAATATATTATAATATTAGAAGATTTGCTTCCCATGACATAAGCCTTCCACTTTGATTACCATTGTACCAACTTGGAATCCTGACCTCTGACCCCTGAACCCTTCCCTGTCTCCCTACAGGTGCAGACCTTAATGGTCAGGCTGCTGATGGAGCAACCGCTCTCTATGAAGCTGCTAAAAATGGACATGAAGAAATTGTGGAGCTCCTCCTCTCTCAGAACGCTAACGCCAACATACCTGGAAAGACGGGGTTATTACCGCTTCATGTGGCCGCTCAGAGAGGAAGTGACATGTAGGCACTCTGACTATTGTCTGCCATATTTTATGAACAACAGAACCCATCTAAGAGAGTTGGTAGGTTTGGGGGAAATCAAGTCCCCCAGACCACAGCCAGTGTTGTAGAGAGTGAAGAGGCTCATCTGACTCAACAGCTATATAGAGCTGGGTGTCATGGATGATGATCAGTGTAACACTTAACCTTTCTAAAATATCAGTTGAAAAACAGAAAATTGGAAAATTGTATTTTCTAAAATTGTATTTTTGTTTGTTTGATCAATGTATAACAAAATGATTTGCAACATGAATCCCTACATCCCAAAATCATATTCAGGCTTAAATTATATTAGTTCATGAAGTTAAAATGGGACTGGGATCGTCCCAGCCTCAAATCTTTTAAGGTCAAACCTTTTTTTAAATATAACTCTAACCCTTATACCATCATTCGAAACCCATCATTCACCTCTAACCCTATCCAGAACCAGCCAGCAGGCAACTATGTGTAGCCCAATTCAATCAGGAGAGACACGTGAATTAAAAAAAGAGAATTGTTTATTACAAACAGATAGGTGTGATGATAATGTCTTGACTCTACAGGGAGATTTGTAATTGAAGGGCACCTGCCCTGAGCAGCAGCAGGATAAATCTCCCAAAATGGAAATAAAACGCAGCATAAAATGTCCCCCAAAGGCATGCTGACCAAGCGGGAATATAACAGTTCACGAAGAATCAAACAAAGATGTCATAATATGCTAAGAGAAGAATCATAATAATGAGCATGACAGAAATTCTCAAGGTCGGTCTCATCTACTTCCTGGAATGTCTCCTGTTTCCAGCATCGTCTCCATGTTGATCTCAGCCACCAGTAAGACCAGAGTCCGGCGGACTGGTATCAGCCCACTCCACCTGGCCGCTGAGCGTAACCGTGATGACGTCCTGGAGGTTCTGATCAAGGCGGGCTTCGACGTCAACGCTCAGCTGTCTGAAGAACGATCAAGGCTGTACCAGGACCGCCGCAGCACGGCACTCTATTTCTCCGTCATCAACAACAATATCGACGCAGTGCACATGCTGCTGGAGGCCGGTGCCGACCCAAACCTCGACTTGTTCAGGCCGCTGTTGGTGGCGGCGAGACTGGGCTGCATCCAGACCGTCACCATGCTGGTGGAGCACGGAGCCGACATCAACACTTCCATCACCACACACCCCACCACTTTCCCCGCCGTCTACATGTTCTCCATGAAGTACCTGCCTATGTTCAAGTACCTGCTGGACAACGGAGGCCACGCCCTGTCCTGCTTCAACTGTATCTATGGTAACCGACTGCATCCATCAATCAAAACCACGCGATCAGAGGACCTCCCCGGAACCGACAGAGTCCCCCAGCAAAGGGGCGGCGTTCAGGTGACCCGAATCTGTTTAAAACGTTTAAATATAGAACTACACAATGGAGTTCAAGGAAAAGTCAACTAAGTTTAAACTGTTTAAGTTAAACGCAACTTTATTTACTACAGCGATTCAAAAAGTTTCAATGTGAAAAGAAGACAGTTATTTGATTGATTGACGGTTATTTGATTGATTGACAGTTCTGTGAGATGATTTCAGCCCCGAGTATCTGTCGGTGGGCGGGGCCAATCATTGACGTCCTGTTGGACTACGTTGGTCATGTGACTCTCTGCTCCAGAATAATGGAACACCTGGACAGTTACTCCGGCTGGAGCGCCATCAAGGATAAAGCATGTGAGTCAATAACTGATAAACAACTGAAAACCTATTAGATGGTCCCCCAATAAACATGTCAGTAAAAAAGTGTTAATGTCACCAGTTTGTCTCATAGTTTCTAGTGATGTCACCAGTTTGTCTCATAGTTTCTAGTGATGTTACCAGTTTGTCTCATAGTTTCCCAGTGAACTCACTGTTTTTTATTTTGTTTTCCAGTGATGTTACGGTTTTGTTGTTGTGGTTTTTCAGTGATGTCACAGGTTTTTATTTTGTTGTTTTTCAGCTCCTCCTCGCCCACTGCTGCAGCTTTGCAGGCTTCAGGTTCTGCAGCTGGTTGGTCGGCGGCGTTTGAAGAAGTTGCCGCTGCCTGGTGGTCTGATCCGCTTCCTGCAGCACCAGCAAGGACCTGTGGAGGACTGAAACTTGATGTGTTTACACTAAAAGGAGGCTATTACTAGTATTTATTTATAGTCTGCTTTGTTTTTTGTGAGTAAATCCAGGACTTTAACAACATTTTCCAAGTGTTTGTAGGTTTCTCCTGGATGATGAGCTGGTTGAAGCTGATGTTCCTGCAGCATCTTGGTTATCATCTTTCATATTAAAACTAAAAGATACTTGTTGAAATCACTGAATGTACCAGATGTCTCCAGCTCCCTCTATAAAGGATGTAACTTAAATGGTATTAGTTTTTTATTGTAACACATTTTATATCTGCAGTCTTTATTTCTTGGTGTGTGTGAGTTCATACTTTTCTATAAACAAACAGAAGCTTTCTTAGGCCACTGCACTACACAAAACCAGCTCAACGAACCCAAAGGGGAACGTCGCTACAGTCTACAAGGGAACACTCCGCACCACTTTGATAGAGCACGCGCAGAGCAACCTGCAAGAGTCATCTGGGCCCGCTGCAGCAGAAACATCACGAACCTCCTCTCTCTACAACATCCGGAAATATCCGAAAAGACCACAAAATAAATATCGTGCAAAAATCACGTAACTTACCCCGTAGAGCTATCCCAAAACCGTTGTCCTTTCCCTTGAATCAATACTCACACGAGCAGCTACGTTTACCGGCGGCACCAGTAAACAAAGGAACAAAGAAGCGCGCTGACAGCGCTCCAAACTAACTTTTATGCACACGCACACCAAATCTCAATCTGACCCCACAAACGTAGTTTACGATGAAACCCAATCTTCACTTGTTAAAGAACAAGATCAAGATATTGTTAACCTTTTCAAAACTTTCAGGTTTCACAGGTAAACTGATAACAGGTGTTTTTACCTGCAGAGCCTCTATGATTCGAGCCAAGGTGACGTTGGGAGGAGGACTGTCTCCATCGACCGCACAGCGACACACAGGACACTGCAGCTGACCAAGCAGGTCCATTGTCATAGAGCGCACACAACACCTGGACAGGTGAGGTCAGGTGAGGACAGGACCGAACAGGTGAGGTGAGGACAGGACAGGTGTGTCCCATATATCATACATACCTGCAGTAGGAGTTCAGTGAAGACGTCAAGACAGACGGGACACCTGAGCTGATCCTCCAGACTTTGACGACACTCCATGTCCTCACTGAGTCCCAAGACCAGAATCCCCAGCAACACCAGGACCAGGACCAGCGGGTTCAGAGCCACAGAGACCACCAGAGAAACCACAACAGCAAATACAAACAATAAAACACAAAAACAAACAAAGCGTTCGGACTTCACTGCTGTTCGTTTGTGTTTCTGCTTTTTTCTTTCTTCTCTGATGTGATTTGGTGGACGGACAGAGTGGGCGGAGCCACAAGCTGACTCTATAGAAAACATAGTAGAAATGTACTTTTTTATATTATTAAATGATAATAATAATGATAACAATAAGACAGAGGACGGGAGGCTAGAGGACAGGGGGCTAGAGGATAGGAGAACAGAGGACAGGAGGCTAAAGGACAGGACAGGAGACTAGAGGACAGGGGGCTAGAGGACATGACATGACATTTTATTCTTTATAAATTGATTTATTTTATTAATATTTTACATTTGTTTCCAGAGAGATAATAATGACTTTATAAAGTGACTTTGCTGGTTTGAATATAACTGTTGCTGCTCTATAAACATATTAGATTGTTAGTATTGGTAAGAGTCGCTCCTAAAGATAACTGTCTCAACCTGACCGTAGTTCTGTGAGGGTACTGATGCCACTAAAACTTACACACTGGCCCTTTAAAGTGACAAACAGTGATGGTTGAGAATGACGTTATTCATGGGTATCAGGTGACACAACAGGAAAAGAGTAGACATCCGGGACCTCCAGAGATCGACTGTGCTCTGACGACCATACAGCAGCATTTTAGTTTGAAAGAATCAACGCGAAGGAAGGTAAGAGCTGATAAATACACGAGCATTAGTGGGTAATGAGGTAATAACCTATAGAATAATAACCCTAACAGACTGCTAACAGGCTAACAGACTGCTAATCGGGCTAACAGACTGCTAACGGGCTGGCTAGAGGAATGAGAACAGGAAGACAGGAGGATAGAGGACAGAGGACAGACGACCAACGGGCTGCCCACAGACGGCCGACGGACTGCTTACAGACTTCCAACAGTTCTATAACCAGTGGCGGCTGGTCAATAGAGGGCCATGGGGCCTGGCCCCACCTTGAGCCACACAAAAAAAAAATAAAAAATTATAATAATCATAAATTATACAAATTGTCAATATTTGTGTTTTTGAACTATGGAATGTACCCAGTAATATGTGTAAAATATGATATCTGCGCAATATATGATTTTCCTGCTCGTCCTCTCCGCCTGTGTGCACAACACATCTCAGAATGCGCAGCTAGGAGGGCCAAATCGTTTTGGCCCAAAAGAGGCGGGTCTATGAAGCAGTTTAGCCAATTGCTGATTGAAGATATAAATGAGTGACATACAATTTAGCCAATCAGTGCCCTCAAATAGATTCAGTGTGGGGCCAAAACGATTTGGCCCCCCTAGCTGTGTGTTCTCGTCAGGAGAAGTCTCTACAGGCCAGCGCGAGCACTACTCCTCCAGGTCTCGTTTGAGAGGAGAACTTTGGCGGAGATTCTGCAGCCAAAGAGCTGATATCGGATCAGCCTGACCCCACAATCAGACAGCAGACTAGCGGGAAAGGGAAGCAGTACATGAAGCTTCTGTACTAGCTGTACACCAGACAGGTTTGGCTAGCTGGATGCAGTCATGCTAATAACATATTTAGCTTTTTAAAACAACGGGGACAGATCCAGCACGGACAGTTAGGGAGTGAGGGATGAGGAGGTAAGGAAACATGAGAACACCAGGGTAGGGAGTAAGGGATGAGGAGGTAAGGAAACATGAGAACACCAGGAAACACATGGAGAACTCTGTCAAGCTACATATTAGGCAAAGTGAACATCTTTTCTTCTACATAGTTGTCCTCAGTCTCATCTGCTTAACTTGGTCATGGAGTCATCAACATGTAATTGAGATGGTAAGTTAACAGTGAAAACTCATCATAGCATAATTTAACATCAGTATTCATAATTACACTTCATGTTTACTTCTCCTGATCTTTACCTCCTATAACAAGGTCCATAGGGGCATCTCAATAAATAAACATATTATATTATATAAGTGTTATTTACTGCTTTTTTTCGTGTTGGAATAAATTTTAATTATTTAACTGCAAAGTAGTGATGCGTGTTGGATACTTTCATTTTTTTGCATTAAATCATACTGGGATGTTTGCTGACATTGATAGGATGGCCCTACCTAGAACATGTTCCACCAGCCGCCACTGTCTATAACCATAAACTAACTCAATCAGATATAAAACTACATAACAGTTAAAACAGTAATGAACTGAATGGAGGCACAGAGTGAACCTACAGGTCAGCTGTAGCTACTTAACACACTGTGTACGATATATTTATTATGTATTGACTGTTGATTGTTTTTTCCTTACTCTAAGGTGGATGTATTGCTTGTCGATCATAATGATTACTGATTGACATTCCTTTCGGTATGGATGATGTATTGCTCACATATTGATTATTGATTGATTCTTTTTTCAGTATGGAGGATGGTTACCTTTTGTCAGCGGATAGGATAACTTATTGATTTTTGAAATGAATTACTTGCAGTATTGATGACGTATTGAACATATTGATTGTTTCTCTCACAGAATGGAGGATGATGAACTTCCGTCAGCGGATGGGTTGGGTGGGCGTGGCTCTCTACTTGCTGCTGAGCGTCATGGCGGTGTACTACGTCTTTGAGGTTCACAGCTTCAGTTTGGAGCTCGTGCAGAGAGGCGGGGCCGGCCCGTCAGCTCCACCCCTCACCCCTAACCGTGTTAGTGCTCACCTGCCACCACTTCCTGTCTGGATATGGGCATCGGTTTTCCTGCTGCCGTACCTGCAGCTTTTCCTCTTCCTGTTCTCCTGCACGAGAGCCGACCCTCGAGCGGTCGGTTATTGCGTCCTTCCTGTCTGCCTCGCCCTGCTCTGCAGCCGCCTAGGCACCCGCAAACCGGCCAATCAGAGAGGCCCGCCGCTCATCGATACATAGAGGACGACCAATCAGAGAGGCCCGCTGCTCAGACAAGACATAACTGTTTGTATGGTTTGTGATGTCACTTCCTGTGTGCCTTTGAACCCTCCAGTCTGTCGGTCAGGAGCTGATGTCAAGACTGCCCTGAATTTGTCTTTCAGAACCAACACTACTGCCCTGAGCGTCGACTGTTGAGATCAGTCTCCAGCTGTCAATCATTCTCCTGTTAGAGAATCCTGTGCTGTGATTGGCTGGAGGATGTTTACTGTGTGTGTGTGTGTGTGTGTGTGTGTGTAGTTAGTTTAACATTGAGACCTGACAGCTGCTGGCCAATCACAGCACTTTGTTGTATTTAATAAGATGAGTCACATGACACACACTGGTAACCATGTTAACTTTATTACATCAATAAAATGGAAAAAAAACAACAATGTGAAGTTTTCCTAAAGATTTTTAATGAGTGATAAGAGACAGAACAGCAGGTTACCAGCTTCATGCTGTCAGAGAATCACTTCCTGTCTCCAGCAACTGCTGCATGAAGTGGACAAGGAGGGAAGGACGCTGGAGAACGGGTCAGTTTATCAAGAGACACGACCTTAATCACAACTTTAAGAGATGAAGTTCACCGAGCTGTTTCAGACTAAACTAAAAGTTTCTACAACAAACTGATCTTCTAGATCAGTGGTTCCCAAACTTTTTAGGCCACGCACCCCCTTCTACATCCCGGCCGGGTTCACGCACCCCCAAAAATCTTCCTGCACCGTGCCTTCGAAAAGATAACGGACGTACACCAGAACATTGGCCAGATTAGCCACATCTGTAGGCTCGTCTACTTGCAGAGAGTAAAACTCACTCTTCTTCACGCGACCGACTAATGTAGCCAGGATGTCTTCGGACAAAGCATCGATGCAGCGCGACACAGTGTTGTTGGGCACCGGGATCATGTCAAACTTTTTTGCTTCTCTCTCTCCAATCATACATTCCACCATCTCTTTGGCAGCTGGCAAGCAAACGTCTTCGGCAATTGTGTGAGGTAGCCCCTTTCTTGCTATTCTGTGACCAGATATGAAGCCCGCAGTGCGTTTTTTGTAGACCCAACATGAATGAGACTGCAGTTCAGACAGCTGTTAGCCAGAACCTCACTGCACACCACGCACTGTGGCTTTGGGCAATCTGCACAGCCAATCCAAGTGAAGCCCAGACCGAGATCATTTTCATCATATTTCCTCTTTTTTCACCTTGACTCCGCGATGGGCCCATGTGCTCCCGATTTATCTGTGCTATCCCTTCCTCCTTTTCGGTCTCCTCCGTCTCATCTTTCTCTGACTCCCGTTCGATTTCTTCTCCCGGTCTCTCCCCAACGCACCTCTCCGATTCCTCTCTCTCTCTCTCTCTCTCTCTGTCCCTCTCGTCTTTTATGACTGATAGCTTCAGATGTCCCACCTGACAGTTTCCCCGATTTCAGCCAGTTTATCATATTTGCATGAATGTTGCTGAATGAATGAAGTTAGCTGTCGTTAGCTGCACAAGCTAGGCTAGCTAGTGTGTACGTAAAAGACAGTCTGGTGGCAGGAGCTGAAGTGCATTTTTAAAAATTATATTTCATATTAATTATTACACCATTAGACCACCATTACATGTTTCCTCTCGCGCACCCCCTAGAGGCAGCTCACGCACCCCCGGGGGTGGGCGCACCACACTTTGGGAATCCCTGTTCTAGATTGACCAACGTCATCTGTGTAATTTATGGCACAATTCAACGGGGATCAGAAAAGCTTTGGTCTCTCCGTTGACTTCCATACATTTTTTCCAAAAATAAGGCACCATGGGGGAAACGGGAAGGAGAGGGACTCTAACCGCCCAATGAGCGTTAGCCGTTAGCTCGCCACACATGAATCATTTCAAGCCCTTTTTACTTTTTATACTGCTAGCTAGCATAATCATTTACTCACTGAATTATACTTTGTACTAATAATCTGAATCTATTAATAATGTGAGGAATTTAAGTTTTAAAGCGCTCCTAGCGATGGATATTATGTGTTGCAATATGTTTACTTGTAGAAAAGTTTAAACTAAAGGGAGAGTTACTGAATTTGTTGTGCACTGTGAGAGAAACCAAAGAATTTATGACACCGCCATAAAGTCAGAGAGGGGGGGATGTTGCTAGTTTCTGAGCACAGCCTTCAAGAAGAGGGGAGGAATTGGTCAAGGAAGTGGCCGACTGAAGTCCGAAGGGTTCAGCCAATCACTGAGCTGATCGATGGGCTAAGGAATGTGTAATATGAGACATTTCAGAGACTTTGGGGAGACAAAGAAACTGTGAATCCCCGGAGATAATCAGACCTCATCTGGACCATGAGGCGGACACACCAGTCTGTCGTGTGGTGCGGATGGGGCCTCTATTTCATGAAATATTACTATTGATAGTTAATACAGTTTGTAAGTGAACTTTGTGTTGTACATTAAATATTGTTTTTAATTTTGAACCGGATCCAGCTCATTTTTCTGATGCACGTGCGCAGTAAGAAGCTCACAGCAGAAAACTACCTGTGGCCTGCAGGCTCTCTCATCCTTTGTTTTTAAGACTTAACAGTAACTAAAGCTATCAAATAAATTCAGTGGAGTGAAAAGTTGGACAAAGGAGAGAAGATGAGGAGAGAGGGAAGCTGAAGACGGGTCAGGAAGTCTGCTGCTGCAGCTCTAAACAGGCTGTATTGTTGTAGAATCAGAACTGTTTATTGGCAAGTACGATACACATACGAGGAATTTTACTTGGTGAATGGTGCATAACAATAAACAATGAACACAGTGCAATAATCAAGACATAGGTAGAAGATATATTTGGGGCCCCAGGTTGTTTGCAACACGCACCAAATGTTTGTATGATTTTCTCTTGTATAAGTTTCACATTTGGACAACATCTACCTAATAAGGCAGACTTTGATGTGAAAACATTTGCAGAGCCCATGGTCTCTAGGTGTCATTGTGACATCCTTCCTTTAAGGAGAATGGCTGTCTCATCCCTTATTGGGAGGCAAAGTCAGTTAATGTATCTGTATCGGGCCCAATGTGTCCAATGTACAGTATCTCTACACAACATCTCTGGGTTCTGTTATTTGCTCACATGACTTCTCTTACCATTGTTATGCCGATGACACCCAGCTGGTCTTGTCATTTCCCCCCGGTGACACTCAAGTGGAGGCACGAATCGCTGCGTGCTTGGCTGACATCTCGAAGTGGATGACGACACACCACCTGAAGCTCAACCTGGACAAAACCGAGCTACTGTTCCTCCCGGGGAAGGGTTGCCCGCACCGAGACCTGTCCATTACCATTGATGATACCGTAGTGACGCCAACTTGGACTGCGAGGAACCTGGGTGTGACCCTAGACGACCAACTGTCATTCTCAGCAAACATTGCATCAGTTACACGCTCCTGCAGATTCCTGCTCTACAACATCAGGAGGATTCGCCCCTTCCTCACTGATGAGACGGCGCAGGTGCTCATCCAGGCTCTTGTCATCTCCCGCCTGGACTACTGCAACTCACTACTTGCCGGAGCCCTGGCGTCAGCCATCAGACCTCTGGACCTTGTCCAGAAAGCTGCAGCTCGCCTGGTGTTCAATCGCCCCAAGTTCTCCCACACAACTTGCCTTCTCCGTTCTCTACACTGGCTCCCTGTAAGAGCTCGCACCCAGTTTAAGACTCTGGTGCTAGCCTACAGGGCAGTGAAAGGAACAGCTCCTTCCTATCTCCAGGCCACGGTCAAGCCCTACACCCCCGCCCGACCACTTCGCTCTGCTGCCTCGGGGTGATTGGTTGCCCCGTCGCTCAGAGGTCCCTGTGGTCGATCGACCCGGTCGCGGCTGTTTTCTGTCCTGGCCCCACAGTGGTGGAATGAAGTCCCCACTGACGTCAGGACAGCAGTCGCTGCCCATCTTTCATCAGGCTGAAACCTCACCTCTTCAAGAAGTACTACCCCGAGCCTTCCACTCACCACTTATTGTATTCCTATTAGTTTGTTTCTGTACTTCTGCTCTGGTTTATGCTCTTAGATGCTTGTTTAAAGGAGATGCACTTACGACTTCTGGTGACTAGTAGTTCTCTTGAATACCGAAGTTGAATCCACTTATTGTCAGTCGCTTTGGAGAAAAGCGTCTGCTTAATGACTAATGTAATGTAATGTATGATTGTCATGATATGTGTTAATTATAATGTTATACACTTTGAGTTAGTAATTGAGTCATCAAAATAAAATAACCGAAGTTGGAAACTCTGAAAAACATTTTAAGACAGTTTGGCAGAATGAATGAAGAGGCTAAATGAAATTAAACATTTATTGTATTTATTATAAATATTGACCTCCCAAATGTATCTAAACATAAAACACCGTCTTCAGGTGTTTCAAAGTGTCCTCTGGTGTTTCAGGTGTCGTCTGATGACTGGTGAAGTGTCCTTGTGTGTTTCACATGTTTTGTCCTCAGGTGTTTCAGGTTTTGGATCTTTTAGCTGGAGGTTGTAGGTAAGAGCTTTGAGGCTCGTCGTCTCCTTCATCACTGTCCTCATCTTCTTCCTCACCTACAGCAGGTAAAACACAGGTGAAAGAACAAACTAGTGTGGTCTCAAATAACTGACTAGTAACACTCCGTCTATTTACCTCTGACGTGTAACGGTCCGTCTGTTTACCCCTGACCTGTACCACTGTTTACCGACTGCTGTTAGCAGTTAGCAGCACATAGCTCACCTTCTGCGCATGCTCCGGTTTTTTCCCGCTCCACCAGCTTGCTAAGGAGCTGTGACACGTTTGCGTTCAGCTCATGAAGTCCGCTGATCAGAGAACAAAGATTATTTTCCACCTTAACGCTGATTTTCTCTCTCTGTCCGTCTCTGAATCTCAACTCTGCGACAACACTTACGGCCGCCATCTTTACTACGGCTCTCATCTGTCGTCATCGCGTTGTTTCTTACGTAAACCGGAAGTCTTTATTTTGTGTTGTGGTGGAAGTAGAAGAGGCTCAATAATGTTTCATGAGAATGGTTTTAGTTGTATAAACATAGTCATAGAACAGGGATAATTAGAGCAGTGAGGATCGATAAAGGTGTGACCACAGCACGGTATGACGTCACTAACGTTTATGTTTCACCATCACGTCACTGAAGTTTATTTTTAACTCAGTTATATTATTGATTTTGTATTGATTATTGATTTTGTAATGATTTCCTTTTTAAACATGGTAACCTCTGACCCCGGAAGCGGAAGTTGTTATGACCAGCTAGCAGCAGCAGCAGCTAATGGTTCATAACAAAGACACGACGGGCTGATTATTGATAGTTAATTATCGATCAGGTTATTGGTTTACAGTCATCGAACAGTTTTACTCGGTAAGTTTGTGTTGAATTCACGCAGCTAACACCGTTAGCACCACTTCACGTGTTTACTGAAGCTAACTGAAGCTAACTGATGCTAAGTGCTAACGGACTGATTGATGAAGCTGTTTAACGAGAGTTAGTTTGGACCTGAACGTCTCTGTTTCACCACAAACAACACTTAGTGTGTTAAAATAATATATATATATATATATATATATATATATATATATATATATATATATATATATATATAGTATGTTATTATTATCTAATGGTATCCATCGTTGTGTTTACAATAACTAACGTTACCCCTGTATGAATTTAATAGTGTTTATTAGATGAAATCTAAAGCAGCAGAAACGAGGAAACGACCTGCAGCTGTGTATGTGTGTCTGTGTGTGTGCCTTCCACTCAGCACTTATTGTATTCATATTAGTTTGTTTCTGTACTTTTGCTGTGGCTAAGTGGAGATCTCCGGCTCCGCGAGTCGCATGTCGATGTGTCCTTGAGCAAGACACTTAACCCCAAAATGTCTCCCGTACCTGTGCCTACGGTGTGTGAATGTGAGAGAATGTGAATTGTAAGTCGCTTTGGATAAAAGCGTCTGCTAAATGACTGTAATGTAATGTACCGACACACAGACACACATTCTTTTGATGTTGTTTTCTTTAACATGAGTCAGATTTAACAGATGTGACAGATGTGACAGCAGCTGGTTGTTGTTAGTCTCCATAGTAACATCTGTTGTTGTTTGTTTCCATGGTAACAGGAAGGATGTCTGAGGAGCAGACGGTGTCTCTGGTTGATGTTCTGAAGGAAGATGAAGAGTTGGAGGAAGAAGCTTCAGCAGTGTTGGCAGGAAGTGATTCTGATCACTGCTCATACCCTCAGGTCAGTGCTGTTTATATACATGTGTGTACAGTATGTGTGTTCAGTATATGGTGCTGATCGGTTCGGATCACTGGACCTAAAACCCATAGAGAGGCTATGGACCTAAAACCCATAGAGAGGCTATGGACCTAAACCTGAAGGCCGCTATTAAAGTAACCTGGGCTTCCATAACACCTCAGCAGTGCCACAGGCTGATCGCCTCCACGCCGCATTGATGCAATTCATGCAAAAGGAGCCCCGACCAAGTATTGAGTGCATACTGTATACTGTACATGGACATACTTTTCAGTAGGCAGTAAAAATCCTTTTTTAATTGGTCTTATGTAATATTCTCATTTTCGGAGATACTGAATTTTGGGTTTTCATTAGCTGTAAGCCATAATCATCAAAATTAAGAGAAATAAACGCTTTAAATATATCACCCTGTGTGTAATGAATCAATGTAATATATGAGTTTCACTTTTTGAATTGAATTACTGAAGTAAATTAACTTTTCGATGATATTCTAATTAATTGAGATGCACCTGTATATATGTATATACTGTATGTATGTGTATATATATATATATATATATATATATATATATATATATATATATAT